TTTGTGATCAAGGGCGATTAGGGACGGCTTGAACAAGGGCGGGCTGATGTGTCCCAAATCACGATGGGCCCAAATTCCCGTATCTACTGCCTGTCCTCCTTCTCAAATTATTTTAATCGTCGTGTAGATTGTGGAGTTCTGAAGAAACGTTGTGTACATACATGTACATGTACATGTATCTATACAAAAAACAAAACTACAGATAAAAATAATATGCAAGCGCGCATGTACAATGTACATTGTACATGTACATGTACATGTACATGTACATACACACACGTACGCACGCACACACTCGCACACTTGGAAAAGGCACCACGGATGGCACAAGTACGATTCGGCAACAGTGAAACATGAATTATGTACACTGTACATGCACATGTACGTGTAAGACAGAACGTAGACTGCGAGGAGCATAAGCGATTAAGCGTTGCTATTTTAGAGTGTGTAACGATTGAATGCTCATAACAATAGCTCAAAAATGCGATGATACGAAACGACTTTGGCAAGGACGGAGAGTGAGTAGAAACGATCAGGACGAGTGGAATAGCACGTCTTAGTCTTTCAGAAACAAAGGTCATCGCATAACAAAACCGAAAGCTACGCTTCCTTCCTTCACAGAACCCCACTGCATCAACTTGATCAAGTGCATGTGCGTAGATACATGACTACAGAGTACAGTACTTCATAGCTGCGTACGTGGGCGTATGGCAGTAGGGTAAATGCTAGAATTGCCTAGGTAATCCTCTTTCCAATCGAGAATTATTGTTATGATTTGAACAAGCCAGCTTGGTGCGTTGACCCCGTTCTCATCTCTCCTTTGCGCTTGATCGATCTAGTGACTCAGCGTTCACAATACATGATGGACAAGAAATTACACCATGCAGTCCTAGTAAGTAGTATCAGTAATGACTAATGCAGAACGCGTTACCGTGGCGGGGTGGGTGATGGTGTAGGAGGTGTTAATGCTATTGGCGGTTACCCTAGCCTTGCTCTTGCTGACCGATGTTGTTTTTGTTGTTGTTTTGGTTTGGGGTTGCTGTCTACAAGCAAGAACAGATGGCCGTGTGGGTGCTGGAAGATACGTGGACGTGATTAGAAACACAATGTTATCCACAGCATCAAACTCATAGCTGACTTCTCGTTTCTCAGGAACAACGTCTGCACTCTAAATTAATGCGAACATGATGTGGTGCTAAAAGTACATGAACATGTATGAGCACACACGTGACGTATTAACACCTTCCCATGCCCAGCGTAAACCCGACGAAAGGTCAGGCGCTGTTCAGCACGCAAGCTGTCATCAAGCGATAAGCTTGCTTCTTGGGTAGCCACTGACCTCGCCATCACCCCCCGAGTCTACCCTTCTCTCTCTATTCCTTTCTTCCCAGTATGCAATAATTCTGACACCGTCCGATGCTGTAATGCTGTAATGTGTAGCTTGTGGGTTAATTTTAGATAAAGTTATGTTATTGGTCAACAGTACAATGCCGTGATTTGTATGGTTTTCCTAGGAGTTGTTTGTCGGTGTTGATGGTAAAGCCATAGTCTAACCTGTGCCGTTCCTCAGGGTCACTAGCCTCTAACAGCATGATGGTGTCACCATCGCTGGTCTGTGTCTCGATGTGCCAGTGGTTACAAAATGTCACTTTGTCCGACCGGAAACCGAATGGTTGTGGCTACCCCGACTCTGCCCTGTCTTTCACCCCTTTACCCGAGCACGTTTTCTATTCCATGCGTCCCCACAGCTTACTTCGATTTAGGTCATACGCCCATCTCGCGCTTGCGTGCACCGCAAAACTTGCAACGGCTAATACGAAACGTTCTGTTCGTTCGGCGGATGTCGGTCAGCACCGCGAAGGGCGGCAGTGTGAATATGTGCGTGTCACATCTGCTCATTGCAGTGGATGGAGGCCCAGCAAGTCGTGCTGAACTATCGCCGATGCACGGTTCCTGACAGAGGAGCAGCTTACCTAACTCCACCATACATACAGCACACACCCAGTGAACGGGCACTTATCTAATTACTGCCAGTGTCACTGGTTTGTTGGTGCATCTAGCAATACAGAGCAATATCTTTTGGACACCCAATGGTAGTCCCTGTCACCTCTCTTATCTTTTCTGTGCTTCGCCAGGCAGAGGTCGCTATCGGTGTGTGAGTGACTACTTCCAAAGCCTGTCGCCTGAAATCAAGAGAGCGCATCACTGCCAGGCCGCCTTGGCCACTCGAAAACGCCGCTGATGTTCCACCAGCACGTTACACACCTATCGCTGGGGCCGATATTGAGTCATGTACCTTCAACTTCATGGTGGTATGCTGCAAACTCTGCATCACGCCTGTCTCCGTGAATCATGGTTCTGCAAACTCCTAACGTTACTCCAATACAACTACAGTGTAAAACTAAAAGCTTCTTGCCAGGCTTGCATCCTTATCTTCGGAATAACGGTTTCGGGATGCACTTTTCCATGATTGAGTGTCTTTGCAGCATAGTGTATGTATAGCCTAGGCTATAGTGTAGGCACATCGTGCTGTTTGAACTGGAGGTGCACCATACAGATTTCAGGGCCATACTCCATAGTACATGGTGGTATTCATGTACGTCTCCTAGACGCTCAATAGTGATCCGCACTGCAGTACATCAAGTCATCATACATGGGCATGGACCTAAATTCACGTGACTGGCGTTGTAGGGAAAATGGCAGGAGACAGTAAGATCGTTATCAGAAGTTCCTCCAAGTTGTCTTTAGCTGTGGCACGGGATTGCAGTGTTGCCCTTTGCCTGGCCGATAAGACCCTCGGCAGAATTCACGCTTGACCTACGCCACTCAAAACATGGGAGTGGCTGCTATGCTTCGTTATGTCAAATCAAACACTGCTCTAGAGATCCGTGCATACAGCGACTGGACATTTACGTTGTTTCCGTGTCCCTGCTGCCAGTTATGACCCGTAAAAAGTACCGTAATCTGGCGTAGAAGATGAAAGGGTTGCCATATCAGTTTGATATCAACAAATTATTGTATGAAGCTAACCAACCAGTCACAAGGCCGTCTTCCTAACACATTCGTTCTGCGTGCCTGCACTTCGCTCAGCCAAAACTGGGAACACTGCATCAGTGCGTGTACTGTGTAGCAGTACTAGCACGGCATGTACAGTCTACACTAGACCTGCATTGCACATGATTGTATGGGGAAATTCCCATTGTGTGTGTTTTACGCATGCATGATGCGCAACACAGTAGTACTGTAGTCTAGTAAGTGTAGCTTGATTCTAACAGCGTGTTGCGTTTCTGACGTCATATAATTTAGCGCTTCTGAAAGGCTCCAGAAATTTTCGGAATCTTTCACAGCAGTGCGGAAGAAGCCTAGAAAGTAACAGACATGATGAGAAAACGCACTAAACTTCGCATCCAGTGAACTCCAGATGTCCTGGCGTACGGGCGTGTTACGCAACACATTGGCATGCACTCTTGTGACACTAAACCAGTGCTGCACTACGTATCACAGTAGCATGCACAGGCAGTAGCGTGCAGTCAGACTCAGAGGTGAAATAGCTGTCGCAGTATGCAAGCCATGCCTCAAATTCTCCATGCTCTTTCCTCAAGCACATGTACTAGTGCCTGTGCAGGATAGCTGGTGCAAAACGGCAGCACCTGTCCAGAGCCAGGCTGCCACTAGCAGTACCCAAGGGTGAGTCTGTGTTCGAAGATCTCAGCAGGCTCGAGCCAGACATATCCTCATCTATCCAGTTCTGGGCACCGGAGTTCTCAAGGCACGGTTCGATGATGACAAATAAACAAAAATGTATATGGGGTAGAAATCCGAAGAGCCATTTAGGTATGCGCACTCCACGGTCCCCTGCTGATCGCTAATCAAGATACTACATGTGGAAGCAAAGCTGCAGTAGAACACACGTCTCCACAATACCTTCAAAGGTTTATCGCAAATAAGCGTATACAATCATGTACGCATTACTGATTAGGAAGGGCTGAGAGAAAACGTACGATGTACTTTTTATGATAATCAATGCGCCATTTATTGCTCAGTGATCCCAAACGTTGATTTACATGTTGAGGACACAGTCGTAGCTTGGCCAAATGCAAAATTGAATCCGATCATGACTTCTTTACCGTCATTATAGCACTGCAAATACCCAAATCAGCAAATAAGTCGAAGAGCCATCTCACAGTGTACCGCAAATTCAGTATGTACATTAGATCTCGAGCCAAACTACAGATAGGGTAACCATTATCAGGTTCTGTCTCCCAATGGAACATGTCAATTGACTAATTCCATTGCTCTACTTTTTTTCACTGTCTCGCTACACACACACACTCTCTCTCTCTCTCTCTCTCTCTCCCACCCATAGTCCGCATAGCTAGGTGGCCTTGAAGTCGAGAGCCTAGATCGGCGAAGCTCTCGCGAACCGATCATAATAATGTTATCCCGATCCACCTCCCGCTCGCCAAGCACGCAGAGCTGCAGGGGGCTAGTGCTCAGCATGATTTTCATGCTCGCGCAGTCACTGCATAATGAGTTTTGCGCTGGCTTTGTCACTGCCACTGGACTGCTACGTACGTACGAACGAACTGAGCAAGTGCTTCGTGCCTGGCTGCCCTGTCCGCACCAGGTCAGGAGTTGACTGGCTGCAACTGCCCAGATGCGCGTGCACACGACTTTTTGCGTCACCAGTGTGGGGGCGTCTTGCGGTTTTAGACATGAGCTAGCCTAGCCTAGACCTGTGGCTGTGCATCGGATCAAGTCCTGCACTCTGCGCGCGCAGCCTACACAACCGTATAGGGTTCGATAAGCTCAGTATTGCCAGTGCCAGTGGGCTGCTTGCGTACAGATCATCAAGTGGGCCACTACGGACTACTGCCTAGTACTGGTAGCGGGCCTGGCGCTGGCGCGAGCTAGCTGCTCCCCTGAGGATATTATGCAGGTCGACTTGCTGTGCGCTGTTTACGGCACGGGGGCCCGCTGACAGTATAAAAGGGGAATGAGCCGCGACATCTAGCAGCAGTAGAGCAATTACCAAAGATTGTCCAGTGCAGTGAGACTGAGAGAGTGATAACAGGTTTTATTCATCGCCATTTCCCTTTGCCAGCGTGTGCACTAAACTGTTCTGTGACTCAGACCAAGTACTGCAAATACAATCAGCCAGTATGTGTATCGGAAATGATGGAGGTCCTTGGCAAAACTGCCGCAAATGCCAAACGTCTACAACTGGCGACAGTGTGAAGACGATGGCGTTGACCAGTGTAGATTCCTCTAGCATCTTAGATGTAAAGCTGGAACGACCAATGACTACCGACTGCTTTGCTCCCAATGAATTTCTTACGACTTCTCCTCGGGCTTCGCCTGCTCCGATCAACAACGAAGAAGAGCAAGTGGATGCCGTCCAGAAGCCTAAGAATGTTCGCAAACGCAAGCGTGGTGACGATGATCGAGTCCGACGGCCCATGAATGCATTCATGGTCTGGTCAAAGGACGCAAGGAAAGAATTGGCTAAGCAAGATCCCAGTGTACATAACGCGGACCTGAGCAAGAAACTCGGTGAACTCTGGAAGTTGATGTCAGAGGAGGAGAAGCGTCCGTACGTGGAGAAATCCGAGTCGCTACGGGCCATCCACCGCCGTGAACATCCCGACTATAAGTATCAGCCACGTAAGCCGAGAAAGTCGGACTCCACATCTTCGCAAGACAGCAGTGCAACGGGTTTGGACGAGCCATCAGCCAAGCGCACCTGCTCATCACCGTCTGTTGCCTATTCGCAATCCCTGGGTATGTACGATCTGGCCCGACCTGGAAGCGCAGTGGTATCGCGTTCTGCAACACCAAGTCTGTCGGCATGCGGCTCTGTGACTGGTGGCAGCAGTGACGTGGATGTGGACTGGCTGCTGAAGGACACCATCCAGACATGTAAGGTATCGCCATCCATGTCACTGAACTCCGCATGGCCTATGCCAACACACAGCTCGCAGCGTAACATCTCATCTGCATCCTACATGGACGCTCCGCCATTGAGTCATCCTCCTCATCCAACGAAACCCATGTGGAGGGCAGACCTTGGCACGCAGCCATTCCAACCCGCTTGCCCAACGCAAGCACAGCCCCTCAGCTTGACGGCTAGCTCCAGTTCCATCGCATCATCGTCTCTGGTTTCACCAAGCAGTGACAACAGCGACGCATCGCTCGACTACATTCTCCTGGACAATGGCTACCTTCAGAAGTCTGCAGATTTCGCTCAATCCTTCAGCCTGTCCGCCAACAGCGCTAGCAGTGAAGAGTTCGGAGGCCTGTTGAGCCAGTATCTAAGCGGCAAGCCTGTTCAACACCATTGGCAATACGAATACCTACCAAGATATTCAAGCCCCTGATAGCACACTGGAGGACTACCAGCCATATTCCCAGTTCAGTTTTCCCCAACAGAGCCTGGAGCCACAGTACTCTGCGCTCTCAATGCTCTGAGACATCAATGACTGAGCAAACACTGCTTTAATGAAAATCAACCATATCCTGTGCTTTACTTGATTCCAAACTCCTATCAATTTTCTTTGCATCTCGCCTCGGCTTGTTGTTGTTCATATCGTTACCACTTTTGCAAGCGATTGTTGATGATACTTCTGCACAGTTGAAGCCTTGAATGTCAAATAATTATATTTACCAGTACATCTGTGGATGTGATCTTGTGATTCACTCCATAGCCTCGTTGAGAATTCGCCTCTTCCAGAACACCCCATTTGTCATCTTCTGGCAAGACCACTTGACTGCATTTTGTTGGAGAATATTTATCCACTGTATGTACAGTACAACCGAATATCCGTTGGTTATGTGATTGAATGGGTGCGAATGTCGGTGATGATCACCATGGGAGAGGGGGACTGGGAGAAGAGCATGCGGAGACTGAGTGGGTATCGGCGATAGTCAGGGGAAAGAAGCATGCTGGGAATAGTTATTGTGTTTGAATGGGTGCTGATGATCACCATGGGAGAGGGGGACAGGGAGAAGAGCATGCGGACACAGGAATACTGGTTCCCGTGTACGTGAGTGGATAGTGGCGATACATGTAGATAGGGGAAAGGAGCATGCTGGGAATGCACACAACCATCCGCTCGTGGGGTACAACTGTGTAGATCTACTAGGGATGGCGAGGGAGGGGTTCTTATACACACAGGCACGCACACGCGTCATAATATACTTTGATTTGATTGATTTTACTTGGATTCCCGAGACCAAACGAGCAGGAGTGCTCAATAACAGGGTAGCGAATGGGTGAGTTAATAATGATAGCTTTCCTACAGTTAGAGTATTACCGCTGCAAAAAATATCCTTCGGTTTACTCAGATAATCAGCCCCAGACTATTCTACTCAGATTAACGCCGGAACATGCCCGCTAGTTGACGCTCGGAGTGTAAGTGACGCTGGGAGTGTAACAACGCTCCTGGGCAAACCCATTCTGTTTCAGTATGCTGTTATACATACATGTACATGTACATGTATAGCTCCATCTCATTCCGTCCCACTCGCGACACGTAATTCTAATGTAGTTCAGGATTCTGGATCGGTTTCTTCACGTCGACGCACGGCCACTGTACACTCCATACATCAATGACCCAATTTGGCACTGCTGTTGAATGCTGCGGATACAACAAAAGGCGAAATCAAGCGAAGCGTGTTGACGGTCTGAGGGAGTTTCTCTCGTCTTTATCGCCTTGCGAACGCTTCATACTCCTTTCCCACCAAACACGGTAAATGTGTGGTTAGTGGTGTAGATGTGACTATTTCCACCCCTTTCTTGCAGGGAGCATAATTTTAGACGAAATTATCAATATTCATGGCTACAGACGTGCCAAGTGGTCTATTGTGTACATTGTATACATGTAGTTATTGTAGTCTATCCTGCAGACATTGCCATTTTTAGTCTGCTTATCTGAACTGGTGCTGTAGCTTGCTTGACAAAGGCAAGTATGCAAAACGCTAACACCGTCGGACCACGTGATTGCAGTTACTCCACCACTGCCCCGTGGTGATTGCATTTATGTATTAAAATTCTATTTGAATTTACAAGCACAAATGGGATACAAGCCCAATACAGGACAGCAAAATTACACTGATAGCCTGTTACTGCTCTAAAATGAACAGAAGTGATCGAAACTCAAAATGAACCGAATTGATGCCAGCAAGGAGGTGCAAGGAGGTTTGGGTGTTGGTTTGATTCCAGCCATTCTGGAGAATTCTCCCGCCCGTGCCGGGGCAAGTTCAAACACGTTCACTGAGGTTACTAGTGGTTTTTCTCCTTGCTTTTTGCCTTGGTCATGTACACTACACTGACAGCACGTTGTGAGCTGAGATGCTGTTCATGTACATGTACATGTATGTACATGATTGTATTCTATACGTACTCAGTATGGACCACGGACTAGAGCGAAGTGCAGAGATTACGGAATGCCTGGTGGGCCGAATTGCTGGTTCATTGTTTGCACAGTGACCGTTGATAGTCCTGGCAACCCTGGTATGGCACCGGATTGTGGAAGAACTTCAAGAAAAGTCTGTTGTAATCTGGGTGGTCCGATGAGAAGGGCATCCACACATTTCAAATTCCTTTCTATCTTTGTGTGTCCTGCCGACTTCCGAACACGGACTGAGAGCTTGGAGTGTGTTCGTGTTTCACGAATGCACATGTGCATGTACATGTATGATCGCAGTCGCAGTTTTAAAGGGGAAGTCCGGTGAAAAATTTAAATTTCACAGTCCGTAGAGTTCGGGGCGCTGAGTCGAATGGTCTTTGTCCGAGGAGGCTGCGGCCTATGGTTCGTCAGATACGCCCAATCGAACATGCGCGAATTTGAGCGCGCCTCACCCAAATCCAGGTGATGACGTCACAGCGTGCAGCCAGGTAGCCACACCATCTAGTTGTGTACAAAATGGCCAAATTCGGAGCGCGTTCGATTGGGGAACCGTTTGTCGCAGTTTCTTCGGACCAAGACCATTCGATTCAGTGTTACAAACACTACGTACCCTGTGATTTTCAGCTCGGTAAACCTCGAGGTTATACCGTATTTTAGCCGTTTCCGAGTTGGACTTTTTCCGTCAGCCTGCAATGCGAATGGCCTCTGTAGACTATGGGCATGGCTCTAGCAATGCGCTGCGTGCAGGCTAGCTGTAGTGCAGTCAACAAACTCATCACACACGGAACTACTCCCGCAGTGCCGTGCTGGGGTAGCTGCAACAAGACTCGAGTCACAAGACTCAGAAAACTAGTCAACACACAGACTTGTCATGTACTACACTCGTATCAGTTCATGTAGTCAGAGAACGTGCGTTTCTCCTTGCCGGTGCCGGTGGTTGTGCTTTGAGAAAGAAAATTTTAGTTTTCCACTCCAGTCCCACCTCATTATTTTATGCTACAGCGATGAGTGCACAACCGTGACAAGTGACAAAACAGCGAACAGCTCCCGGACCTAGAACTTTCAGATTCCATAGCGTTGCGAGCGAAGAGCCGTGCCCGTGGTTCAAAGAGCCTGCACTGTTCTCCAATTGAGTAGTCGGAAATATGCCAAGTTCGCACCAAAACATCACCATGTGCCAGGCTACTGGAGTCTAAGCGAATCGGTATGGAACAACATCTAGAGTACTCGCATCACTCTTCTCCATTTTGGCAACCCTGCTCTCCAGCGATCTGATAATTATATCAGCCTCGTCTGCAATAGCTGCTGCTTCTTCATCAGTCGGAAACTCAGTAGCGCTCACTCTTGACCGGCCGGCGCGGCCATTTCTTCAGCTGAATACCGAGGTTCTCAGCCCCAGACCAAACTCATGAAGGTCAGCCATGGCTGCATCCTCACTCTCACAAGGAGTTAGGTCTTCGGGGTCGCTTGCACCACCTAATATCAGTCGCCAAATCATTTGAAATAGCACTGACACTATTGCTTTCACGCACTCCTTTTGACCTAGCTGCACGCTATGACGTTGCGGAGGGTGTGGCGCGGCCGCATGACGTCATGGCGCAGCCCCCGAAACTCAGTTTTTCAAACGGAAATATCTCGAGAACGCTTTGTCAGAGACACGTGGGACCAACACCATTCGACTCAGCGCCCAAAACTCTACCGACACTGAAATTTAAATTTTTCACCGGACTTCCCCTTTAACGTGTTTTTGTTTTTGATCGAGCGATTGTTGTTGTTGACTACTGAGTACTGTTCGGGAGAAGGTGTCTTTTCTCTGCCTGTTTACGCTTTACCGTTGCGTGCATGCACAGTATGCATGGCAACCCATCCACACCGCCCCTATCAAACTAGGCTGGTCTACTAGCGTCTAGGAAATCAACAGTGCAAAAGTACGTACACAGGCATGAAAATGCATACCAAGCCCATGCGAATGTATCCGTACTTCGAGAGCATATGGGTCAGTGTGGGTTGATGTGATGCTGTTACGTGGGCTTCGCTCGGCTGATGCCTTGCAGCAAGCAACATGTTTGCGCCGCTAGCAACGAATCTGACGCGTGGCTGACACCGCGGACTTGTTGGTCGTTGCCGCAGTGTGAGTTGCCAACACAGCAATGCAGAGTGCCAGAGACTTGCTAACCTGAACCTGTTGATACTAATATTACTACTAGTATAAACGGATTCGTGTTACCATACTGATGCATACTAGTACTACTAGCATTCACAGAGATAGATATCCACACATACATGTACATTGCTGGCAACTGAAATCCGACCCCCTCGGATTTCAGTTGCCAGTACTGTACATTGTACAAGTAGCAAAGATCTAGAATCTAAAACTAGTACCGTTTAAACAATAGTAGTGGAAAAAGAGAACAGTGTCGATCGAAATAATAATTCGTCTGAAGTGTACATGTAAGTTGCAGTGCAAACCAACTAGTATCCGCCGTCCAACATGCCACTATAACTCTCTCTCTCTCTCTCTCTCTCTCTCTCTCTCTCTCTATCTCTCTCTCTCTCTCTTTCTCTCTCTCTTTCTCTCTCTCTCTCTCTCTCTCTCTCTCTCTCTCTCTCTCTCTCTCTCTGTCTCTCTCTCTCTCTCTCTCTCTCTCTCTCTCTCTCTCTCTCTCTCTCTCTCTCTCTCTCTCTCTCTCTCTCTCTCTCTCTCTCTCTCTCTCTCTCTCTCTCTCTCTCTCTCTCTCTCTCTCTCTCTCTCTCTCTCTCTCTCTCTCTCTCTCTCTCTCTCTCTCTCTCTCTCTCTCTCTCTCTCTCTCTCTCTCTCTGCACAGTCTATAATTATGTACAGTGTACCTCTGACTGTACATTGTAGGTACTCCTCGGTTCACTAGTAATAATTATTACTGTGCCAGGCATCGCTATGTCAGTATGTGTATCCCTGTGCGTTTTTGCCGCCGTTTGCACCATGATGGTTTGTGGCTATCTTGTAAAAAAAAAGAAATAGAAAAAAGAAGGTCATCGCAGTGTTCTTGTTTAGGCATACAATCCTACATGCATTAGTCCGGCGTTATCGGACTGGTGACATGGCATGAGCTTGGCACAATAGAAATGCGACGCGCTCCCTGTCACAGTCGCCTGCACCCAGTGACGCCTTTCCGCCGGAGCCCTGAAGGCAGTGAAGCAATGTGTCTGCTGACACAATCGACAGGTCTGGCGCTGGGAGAGAGCTAGAGCGTCGCCAGGGTGTCAACATCGCGTGACTACCAGCATTGTGGATGCTCCAGTTTATCGCCCTATACCTCAGCCTACCTGTCCACCTGTCCGTCCTGTTACTGCAGTCAACATCCCATGTTGTGAGTGCGCTTTATGTTCTAGATTTCACACGAATATGGCAAAGCGAACTGGACGACACGAG